CTGGGTTGTTCTAAGACAGGGATGTCCAATCCTGGTCCTCGATGGACACTATCTTGTTTCCCTGCTCCAACACATTGGATTCAGTGGTTAAATGACCTCTTCATGTCCTGTAAAAACCTGTTAATCACCCATTTTTTCAAATCAAATGGAGCAGAGAAGTGCACAGAGAGGGACTGGAACCCTGCGGAGTAAGAAGAAGGTTCAGTATAGTTAACTCAAGGTATGCTGATTTCTTTCTTACAGGTGGAGTTATGGATTGTCAAAGGAGCAGGGGGTCCAATGGTTCCAATGGTTCCGATAAGCAAAAGAACACACCCGGGGTCAGTCTCAGGTTGGGGTAGATGAGTGGTTGAAAGGCAAAGAGACAAGTGAGGAAGTCACAAGGAAGCTCAGGCCATACAGGGAGAGTCCAGGAATAGGTAGGCAGCAGAAGTTAATGCTGAAACATGTAAGAACACAAGGTAAGTCTTATCTTTCACAGGATAATGCAAAAGTGGCTAGAAGCACACCGGTAGGCATGTAATGCTCCAGTGGCGAAGGAAGATATTCTGCAGTCTTTTGTACTCCTGCAGCTCATTAAGGAGATTGTCCACAGGTGCGGCTTGTTGGCACCATCTTGTTACTGCAGGATGCTGAGAGAACTGAACTCCCACACCCCTGTTCTAAGAGATATCTGCATCCATCCATCCATCCATCCATCCATTATCTTTACCCGCTTCTTCCTTTTTGGGTCACGGGGGTCACTAGTGCCCATGTCCAGCCATCATTGTGCGAGAGGTGGGGTACCACCCTGGACATGTCTCCAGTCCATCACAGGGACACATAGAGACAAACGAGACAAACAACCATTCACTCTCTCACTCACACCTAGGGACAATTTAGTTACCAATCAGTCTAACATGCATGTTTTTGGTTTGTGAGAGGAAACGGGAGTACCCGTAGAAAACCCACACATGCACAGAGAGAACATGCAAACTCCACCCGGAAAGGCCACCGGACCGGGATTTGAACCGCGGCGACTTGCTTACTGAGAGACAGCAACTCTACCAACTGTGCTACCGTGCTGCCCGAGATATCTGCAACAGATATTAACTGTTCATAACATTGTCACATGACCCCACATCAAAAAGGTCTGAACAACCTTTTTAAGGGACAGATGATTCAGTGACAAAAACAATTCCTCCGGCCTAGTCATTTCTCTGTTATTCTTCCAATCATTGATACAGTCTATTTATAGTTTCCTCATCGTCAATGCACATTTCAATCCAATGGACAACTCTGTTCACAGTTTGTTCTTGTAGAAAACAAATGGTGAGAAAACCCAGCAGTATGAAACCTTCACCACTCTGTGTAGTGAATGTATTACAGTAATCAAATTCAACTGCTGAGCAAAACAACAACTAGCCTCTTGGGCTTTGGAGTTTGGCAACACTTGCAGTATTTCTACAAAGTGCGTAAGGGGAAAGATCAGCTTCTCTGCTGATCATTACCATGGGAGATTTACAGGTTGTAAAATGTTCTATTTTACAATTACAAAGAGAAAAAGGTCACTGTAATAACGACAGAGAAATGTGCAGTGTACAATACATGTAAACTAATCGCCTATTGAAGACATAAGATTGGTTAGTTTACATACAAAGTATAAAGCACTGATGGATTAAACCACAGGGCCACCAAATAAGACTATTGATGATGTGATGTAACACAAGTGAATACTTTCAACCTCTGTGATTCCTGTTAGGTAACAAGAAGCTATTGATGTGTAAAGGATAAAGGCAGGAAAGGCAAAAATCAATGAGGTCAGGACTCATGAATTAGTCTAAAACATGATGCACTTGTTGTCAACATAGACTTTTTCATATTGTGTACAGACTGCACATCTATTCCCATTCAACAGGGTTCAACCAGTTTTATATTGAGTGGTTAGAGGTTATTTGACAAAAGAGAAAAGGAATCAAAGGGACTGTTGAGTCAATGCTATGTCAGCTGATGTATCCAAGTGTGACCTTTACTTTTTCATTTGAGATTTTGACCTGTAAAAATACCAAACATAGTTTGATATCTTAATAAAAAATCACAGGGTACTAACCCATCGGTACCACGAGTCAATGCCAGGGCTGCAGCCCTCCTGTGAAGCTAAAAGATAAAGTGTTACCTGTTATGCTTTTTTGATGAAAACAAAAAATAAAACAAACGTTCCTGGAAAAATGCATATTGCCTGTTGGTTTTCACATCAAACTTTTAAAGTTTTCACAAGATTTATTAGTGCTCAGAGTATGACTTCAATATCCGCAAAACGTGTTAGGTTTTTCTGCACTCGCTCTTGTTCAAGGCAAACCCCTTTTCTCTCCCTCCCCTGTTCTCCTCTTCCTCCTGCTTTTTTGCTCTCTGTCTGTGTCTCGGAGCTCCTGATACGCATCTTCCGAACGAAAAATACTATCATGAATCTGGTGAGCTGGATTTTCAATGCAATCGACAAAATCATGTCAGTTTCAGCCATGACAAAACTGGTTTGGTTCATGCTATGAGTACTCTAAATGATCTGATTACGAGCTAAACCGTACGATGGAAGTGATTTGTGAGAATCGCAGGCCACCTACGGCTTCTAGGACTTGCCAGCATGTTGGAGATGACCTTGAAGGAGGTTTCTAGCACGGATCAATAGAATGCCCATAAATCTGGCCATTTTGGATTGAAAGTACCAGCAGGACTCAAGGCTGACAATAAAAAAAAAAAAGAAAAAATCTGCCTGAAGAAATCAACAATTGTAGCTTATCTGAATCTGACTCCCCCGTTTGGCCTCGAAAACAGGCCGACTATCATATTTCTCCTGGGACATGGGTAAACTAAGAAAAAAGCTTTGTCTATCGTACCCCCCACCTGAGAATTTCTGTGCAGGCTTATCAGAATTGCCGGCTGACCAACATCTTATCAGGACTATGGCCTATCTGGAAGTGCGTCATGGACAAATCTCAACGTCTTGACGTTAAATGCATATGTAACGTGCCTATAAATATGCTTGTCCTCTGGACATAGGACCAGATTTAACTTTTTTAGATGTTTCTACTTGGATTATTGAGCATGCATCAGGATGCTTGCTGGTAGAGTTTTTTAATGTCTTAAATTGTGTCCTGATAGGACAAGATGTGAAGAGATCTTTTTTGTAATACCAGTATCCATCCTCATGGCCTTTTCCCTTTTTCTATCTAAAAAAGTATTCTGATAAAGGATAAGAGGCCGTGCTCCTGTGGCAGCATCAACGTGCACTCCGCCCATCTTTCGGACGACTGTACGAACATAATCTCACGGTATCTCGGTCTAATGAAAATAAAGCTGATTCTGATTCTACGTTATAGAGCATCAACATACTAAATACAATTAAAGTAGCAACTTCTTTCCTTTCCATTGTTCAAAATTAAAGCCAATGTGTCTGGTTTATTGTTGCTGCCATGAGTTTGTTTTTGGAATTGCTGTTTGTGCTCTATAGATGTGTGACTGTACAAAAATCCCACCTACAAATCCTGACAAGCTGTGAACTTGTCAGTCACAGTAAAAAAAAAAGGGTCTTTGAGCCTCAAATGGCTAGTTGAAACTAAACATGCGGAAACAATCTTTGAACAGACAGCTAAAAGGCTAGGACTACACACAATCAACAAAAATCAATACCTGAAGTATAACATTTTCATTTTTTTGACAAATTTGTTATTTGCTGACACGAAAGGGCAGTATTTAAATATTGTTCGGCAGCCAAATGATTAGGGGGCACACATCCTTTGTGGCTTCAACTTCTGGGTTCTGGTCTTGTGTCTAGTTATAATGCCTATTGGTGGATTAGACAGTTTAAGATGACAGCAATGCACTTTGGTGTCAACCCTGTAACCTCATCAGTCAAAGCTACCTGCAATAGGTAAAATATTAATTGTCCGTAACATTTCCAAAACCATACGTCAAAAGATCTGAAATTTGGCTGTAAAGGAATAGTTGTTTTTTTTTAATGATTTTCTGAAATAGTTATCATTGGTTAGAATCTTATCAGCCCTCTGCATCATCAGCCAATAAAAAGACTAAAGTCTTGGCTTGGTTAATGGCTAGCTAAAAGAGAGGCTTGTAAAACAGCTCTTTCTCAAAAACCAAATACTAAATCTACGTTAGCTAATGATAAACATCTAAACTTTTAAATGACACACTTTGTTTAGTTTGTCGCCGTTTTCTCAACTGAACAACATGCATGTTACAGCTCGTGTTAGTGTGCAGAACATGGACAGACCATGTAGATGCAGTTGGTGCCGAAGCTGCTGAATGCTTCAGCATTCAGCAACACAGTACATACACAGGCCCTCGTTTGGCTAATCATTATCCTAGCGTGGATGAAGACTTTTGCCTCTCTCTGCACACTCCGTGCTCTCTGACTGAAGTCACGGCCGATAAGTTGCTAACTATTCATAACTATTTGACAGAACATCACTTCAAAAATCCTCAGACTATCCCTTTAAGTCTCAAAGCGAGCTGCAGGTTTACCCCCCACCCCACCTCCTGTTAGCTCTGCTGCTGTTTTAAAACACGCAGATCTGAGCATGGCTCCAAAGCAAACACTGTGCAGGTCTCCTCGCCTGTTTTCATGCAACTAAAGCTGAAATGTGCAGGTGGACTGCTCCTTTAACTTGGAGGGGAAGAAATGGAGCCACAACTTGCATGTAACCTTGAGATGACCCAAAGCACTGAGCTGGAGCATTTCCACCTGTTCCGTCATCACATGAGGTGTGTGGAGGGGGTCCATGTAACCACGGCAACTCCTTCCTCAAACTGAAACGGCAAGAACAGGGGAGACGTGCACCGTCTCTGCCTCCTTTACCTGAACTATTCTTCCTAAAAGCCTCCAGCTCACGTGGTCAGCATAATGTTCTGGAGCATTATCCAGTTTTATTCCAGTATTTTCCTCCCTGAGATGGGAGGGATGCTGCTGCTGTGAGGAGGAGGAGGAGAGAAGAGCAGCTCTCTCTCCCAAAGCTCCTCCTCTGTCATCAGTGAGTGAGCTGAGCGGTCACATTTTTATTTTGCTCCATGAGCACAAAGAGGGCACCGGAGAAGATTTCCTGATCTCAGCGTGCTGCTGCCTGCTTTAGTTCAGTCTCCTCGGTCTCAGGTAAGGCATGGCTCCGTCTCCATCCACGCGTCACGCACCTCTGGGTCTGTTTTTGTTCACAGGAGGAGGAGCAGGAGGAAGGCTCTGTCTGTCCAGCTGAAAGGGCGAATGCCTTTCTGAAGGGCAGACTGGGAGGGAAGGAGGGGGAAAGTGGTCTCTTTCAGGTTTAAAGTGATGTCTAACAAACCAGCCTTCATCTTTTTGTATTTATCCGTTCATGGATCCAGGTAAAAGCAGCACGTTTGAGCAAAAACTGTTGCCTGGTGGGTCAAATCATTAAAGATGCTGCGTGATGAGTCTCTTGTCTGCATCTTGTGGATTTAAATGAACTTGCGAGTCACAATTAATTCCTCAGGTTTATACTGAGACCACAAAATGACCACAGTGGTGTTCATTTTGCGTCCAAGTGGGCAGATTCTTCATTTAATTTTCAATAACAGCGTTGTATACTTTTCGCCGACACTTCTCGTTTCAGTTTAATGAGACGGAACGGCAAACAAACCACAGACGATTTAATAAAACGAGACTAAAGGCTCAATAAGCTTTTTAACTTTCTGGGCATCATTTGCCAGAATGGGTCGCAGATTTTGGGAATGCAGTGTGCTGGGATCCTTTCTGATCAAGATACTGTGAACACTGATATTCTGATACCGAGAAATTATTTGTTGTTCAGACCTTTTTTTTTTAATTGTTTGTTTTGTTGCTCAGTTCAGCGGGGATTTTCCTCCTCGTTTCAGTTCTAGTAATTTCCTCAGTTCAAACTGAAAAGTGCTGATATTCAAAATTTTGAACGGCAGTGAGTTGCTTCGCTTTGGTGAGCTTAGCTAACGTGCAAATCACTCTCCCTACCCTCCTTCTTGTTGGAAAAGCTTTGAGCTCCACACACCAGTTTAAATTGAGAAACAAAACTGTAGAACGTAAGAAGTCCAGAAGCCTTTGTTTAAACCCGCCAGGTGTGCTCTGGATGATCTTTACCTGCAGATTTATTTTATTTTAACAGTTTTTCATTCTTTAATGTGATCTAGCTGAAGCTGATATGAAGACATCGGTTGGCGAACCGGATCCTGGACAGCACCTGAAGCCTTCTCGACTTATTTGAAACTGAGGAGAACGCCATGCGTCGTCTCCGATAAAGCCCGCTCCTTCACTCTACTCTGACTACTCGCCAAGGGCGAGGACACGAAGAGCTACCAGGTCATGGGTTCTGATCAAACCTGCATGGACTCTCCAGAGCAACGATTCATGCTGGGTCCAGCCCCGAAGCAGATGGGCCGGCGGCGTCTGCGGAAAAAGCTAAGGCCTGTGCGAGTCTTAGGATTGGTCATCAGCCTGATGGCCTTAAGTGCTGTCTCCGTCAGTGCCTTGACCAGAAGTTCAGATGGTCCCAGCAGGCCAGCGCTTCCCCAGGAGACTCTTCACCAATCGGCCCCCCACAGGACCCTACTCTTCACCCAACACCAGATAGACCCAGACATGTCAGAAGACATGCCCATAGCCATGAAATCAACAGCAGATGACAACAAGACCCAGGGGGACTACCCACCAGACCTTTTTAGCCTTGAGGAGAGGCGCCGAGGAGCTGTGGTCCTCCACATGTTTGGCATGATCTACATGTTCATCGCTTTAGCTATCGTGTGCGATGAGTTCTTTGTCCCAGCGCTGACAGTGATCACAGAGAAGCTCACCATTTCAGACGATGTGGCAGGTGCCACCTTCATGGCGGCGGGAGGTTCTGCCCCAGAGCTCTTCACCTCCATCATCGGCGTCTTCATCTCACACAGCAACGTGGGTATCGGGACCATCGTGGGGTCAGCCGTCTTCAACATCCTCTTTGTCATCGGGATGTGCGCCATCTTCTCCAAGGAGATCCTCAACTTGACGTGGTGGCCCCTCTTCCGCGACGTGTCCTTTTACATCCTGGATCTGATCATGCTCATCATCTTCTTCTTGGATAACATTATCACCGTTTGGGAAAGTGTCACGCTTCTCTCCGCCTACGCCACCTACGTGATCTTCATGAAGTTCAACGGGAAAATGGAAGGCTTTGTCAAGGGCTGCATGCACAAGAACCAAGTAGTGGAAGTTGAGGTGCAGCCAAAGGTGAGTTGAACATTGTTTGATGTCAAAACTAACCGTAGTTTTAGTATTCTGACATCTTTAATGTCTCATGTTAGCTTGAAAGACATCCCATTCTAACATTTCATGCATCGCCTTTTAGACATTTCCTACTGAACAAATTCTAAACCCAGTTTTTCACAAGAGATATCTTCTCAAATGAATAATTTAGATCATTTCAAGTGGGAAAAAAGGTTTGTAACCTCAATCATCCAGGTAGATAACAATAAAAAAAGGTTAAATGTAATCTGGACCAATTTCTTTCACGTAGGGTTCTGTGGAAAGAGTAGTTTTGGTTTGTGGGAGGAAACTGGAATACAGTAGTTCATGCAAGTACTATTTTATAAACCCTTACATTATTGTCAGTTTCACACTATTGCAGTAGAAATATTCATTCAGAGTGCCACAGGAAGAGCTACAGCTAGCTGTTACTGCTTTTCTTTTGCTTGTGAATAACAGAATTATACGTAAATAACAATTTATAAAGTGGCTTTAGCCTGAACTGGTATAAAACCTTTGAGAATAGAGTCGTTTTAAGTTTGAAGAAATTAATTTAGCCCTGCTCCGACTAGCCATTAGCTCGTCAATCCAGTCCGTATCAAAGGTAAGTCAGGGGCGCAACGGTACACAAAGGTCACAGTGTGGTGCAGACCACGCACCAAAGTCCTGGTTTCATACATTTTTGGATCAGTTGCAGTAAAGAAAACAAAACCAGTTTATTTATTTAAAGGTATAGAAAATAATAAACTCCTCACAAAATTTAAAAAAATGGTACACACGCATCTATTAAAGTGCACATTTAGAATATCAGCTTTGACTTAACATTTTGGTAAACAAATGTATAACACAGTAAATGTTCATTAAGATGCAGCAGGCAACAAAAAATATAACTACTTTGTATTATACTTTGTATGTTGGATGTAAGATTTTGAATTCTATTCTGAAACCAAAAGGCGCGTACAGAAAATTTTACGGTAGTAGTGGTACTTCTTTACTGGTAAAATGGTAATTGTTCATAACCTTTCCACAGAACCCCTCTTTAAAAGATCCAAACGGTTGCTTTAGTGACATACTTTCTTTTTCTCGTCAAGGTAAACATTATTTGCAATTACAATGATCATCCCTCAGATCTGAGCCATCCCATCAGTCACTATGTACCAGCTGCTGCCGAACAAACGCCGCTCTGGCTCATCTCTCCCTCTCATTACGTTTAAAATCACAGAAAGTCAGTGGGTGTTCGAGTACGGAGCGCTGTCAACAGTCAAACTGACCATTTCACATTAATGATTCACTCTACGCTGCCGTGCAGGGCTGCCATACCGTCCTCCACTGTGGGATTAATAAAGCACAGTCAAATGTGTAATTCTGGGTTAAGCTCTACAAATTATGTCCCGTCTGTGAAACAAATCCCTCAGTAAATCTCACGGGCTATTTTTATTTATTTTTTTACTCCCAGTTAAAGATTTTCCACATAAATACTTCATTTTAGACGTGATCCGTTCAACCAGCTAAAGTAACTGAGCACGAGGGTTTTTTTGTGTATTTTACCGGTTTGTGGAAATTCTTCTTGTACAGCCTGATATGCAACACATCGCTCTTGACTCAACACTGAGAAAAAGAAAGAAAAATACAAACTCTGTCGTCAGAATTAGCAGGAGTCAGTGCGTTATTCCTCCTGACACTGACGCCCTCAATGACAACGGAGGGCAAAAGACTCTGTGGTGCAATGTGATCCCGGCTTCGAGATTATCCCGCCAGATTTGGTTTTCTTTGTGACACGAGATGAAAATGAAATTTGGAGAAAGTTGCATTTAAGACCTGTCATTAAATCAGGATTTATTTTAAGCACATAAAGGATTTTTCTTTTAAACAGCAGGTTACAAAATGTTCAGGGGGAAAAATAGCCAATAGCGCCATATGCTGTGCTACGTTTAGACAAAGTCCTTTTGATTTAACCTTGAAGGTATTTATGCTTTAATACTTCGGATATGGAACAACATGAACTAAGGGGGCAGAGAAGACTCAGGTGGCCTTGACCTGCAATGGATTGTGGGTATTTTGATCTAGGAAAGCAGGTGGCCATTTTTAAAAGCATGTTTCAACACTGATGGAGAATAGTGCAAGGCAAATTTCTCTGCCTAGTCTTTTTCATTTGCATTACGTAAAGGGATCGTAAAGCCTGTGAAACAGATGCAACGGTGTGTAAAATTATAATTTCATTACAAAAAATGTTGCAATTTAGCCTCTTTTTTTTCATTGTCCTTGTTTTGAGTGTTAATAGAACGGCAGTGGCACAAATATGATCAGAATTTAATCATCTAAACATCGGTTTTAATCAAGTTTGGACTCCTCGGGGACGTGTATCGTATGACACAAGCGTTATTTTCAGAATTGTCTGTTATTAGCTGGCATGTGAGCGACGGTGTGCAATTATAAATTCGTATACAGCTGTATGACGAGGAGTGAGACAAAACCTTTAAGACAATGATGAGTTGGATCTGCCATAAAAACCTCAAAGAAAGATCAGGCTTAAAAATAGAGTTTGACTGATTGATTATTGGGTTTCAGTGGCCGATTCCAATGCCGTTTTTTAGAAACTATGAAATAAATTAGCTTGTTGTGTTTTTGACCCATAAATATAACTGTCTAGTCCTCAGCTGGTGACTGAGCTGCCCACAAAGGGGCTCTAATTGTAATTGGCTCAGTAAGCTCATAGGTGTGGCTGATGAAGCTAACAGCCCGTCATCATTTGTTCTTTTATATAAAGGTCTGGTTTGTAGGAAAGGGTTGTATTACATTCATATTTATGTGGTTTTAATTTGGAATAACATTGCTGAAAGTGATTGTTAATTGTATCGTTTATTGATTATCATGAATTGTTTACGCTTTTAAGAATGTCTTTGATATACTTCAGATCTGGTATGAAGTCTTTGCATTGTTAGGCTGGTCATTTTAAATTACGCTCTTAGTTTATACCAAAAATGATCGCTCAATGCCATGAAAAGTGGCCGATCATGTCATTTTATGTGTTTGTGTTTCTTTGGCTGTTGTTTTGAATAAAATATCTCACGAACCAATGAACAGCTTTGAAGGAAACTTTCAGAAAGTAACCATTGGATGTACGTCTACAACAGTTCACTTTCTGGAGTCAAACCGATTCAAGATGGCCACATAAATACTTAATTTTAGACTTGATACGTTCAACCAGCTAAAGTAACAGCATGAGTTTTTTTGTGTATTTTACCAGTTTGTGGAAATTCTTCCTTCAAGTTAATCAACCACACATAGATTCTGATTTTTATCTGATCAGGGAAGCTTCTTCTACCTTTTCCTGTGTCAAGCCTAAAACTACTTTCTTCCATGAAGGACATATTTATGTAGTACATGACTAATATTTATCCTGTGAACAGAGTTGTGGATCTCTGGAGCTCCTTCCTCCAGCAAAGGCCAAAGGAAAGGTTTATGACAATAGTGAGACTTTCTTTGTTGTATCTCTTGCAGTAACATATGGTCTGGAGACAGTGATGTTGACAAAAAGACAGGAGACAGAACTGGAAGTGGCAGAAATGAAGATGTTGAGGTTCTCCTTAGGAGTGACGAGGATGGATAAGATTAGGAATGAGATCATCAGAGGTACAGCACAGGTTGAACAACTGGGAGATAAAGTTAGAGAGACCAAACTGAGATGGTTTGGACATGTCCAGTGGGTATATTGGGTGTATTGTGGTATACAGTGGGTATATTAGGTATATTGTGGTATACAGTGGGTATATTGGGTATATTGTGGTATACAGTGGGTATATTGGGTATAATGTGGTACACAGTGGGTATATTGGTAGAAGGATGTTAGAAATGCAGCTGCCAGGAAAAAGACAAAGAGGAGATATATGGATGCAGTTAGAGAGGACATGGAGGTAGTTGGAGTTTGGGATGTTATTTTATAACCCTAAGACTGTTTCAAACCTGTCAAAAACCTTATCACTGACCGGTGTGATGTGTTCCTTGGTCTTCATGATGCTCTTGATTCCTAATGTCCACAAACTAACCTCTTTGGTCTTCACAGCATATCAGGATTCATACTGAGATTTAATTACACATAGGTGGACTTTACTTACTGATCAGGGTGTTGGTTGCTGGATTGTAGGGATCAAAGTAAAGGGGGGTGAGTACAAACTCAACACTTTGTCTGTAATTTGTTTTTTTGGTTTACTTCAAAATCACACAGTACTTTGTGTTAATCTGTCTCATCTTATCCCAGTTGAATACTTTGTGGCTTTAACGCGACAAAATGTCGTCCGTAAGCTTTTTGTGGACTTCACATCTGCCTTTAATTTTACTCTCATTGATTGTTGTTGTTGTTGTTGTTGTTGTTGTTGTTGTTAAGCACTTTGATAACAGGTTCTGTTTTAAATGTTCTCTATAAATAAAGTTGACTTGACTTGACTTCAACACCATGATCCCCCAAACACTGATGGACAAACTATTCACACTAGGACTAAGTCCCTCCATTTGCAACTGGATCCTATACTTCTTAACAAACAGACCACAGTTAGTGAGGATCCACAACCGCTCCTCCTCCCCCATAACCCTCAGCACTGGCTCTCCTCAGGGATGTGTGTTGAGCCCCCTCCTGTTTACTCTGCTCACGTATGATTGTGCAGCTACCCATCCAGGCTGTCACATTGTAAAGTTTGCAGATGATACCGCGGTGGTGGGATGCATCACAAACAATGATGAGTCAAGCTACAGGCAAGAGGTGGAACACCTGGAAAGCTGGTGCAAGGAGAACAACCTTCACATCAGTGTGAAGAAGACAAAGGAGATGATTGTGGACTTCAGAAGGAACAAAAACACCTACACCCCCCTGAACATAAGAGGATCTGCGGTGGAAGTGGTCTCCAGCTACAAGTACTTGGGTGTACACATGAATGACAACCTCAGCTGGAGCAACAACACCACCAGCCTGATCAAGAAAACTCAGAGAC